CACACACGCACACGCACACGCACACGCACACGCACACGCACACGCACACGCACACACACACACACACCCACTGTGTAAGACATGGCGGGGAGGGAGGGTTTTGACGCTATGAATAAAAATGCCATCACCTACACATCACTAAGTCTTTACAAATGAGCATTTAAGTCAATTTCTCACCGGGCAATGTAAAGCTTTCTGCGAACACACGGAGAAAAGAAGTGTGAGATGAAGATAGGAAAAACAGATTTTTACACCTGCAGCTCAAATATCTAGATTTACACATCAGAACGTTGTTGATGCCCTGAGCTGTCAGCGCTGTGTAAACACTGCACGTCCACATGGGGGAATGTAACCAGCCTTTTGCAATTCTTCATGTTTTGTTTCTGTTGTTTGGATAATATAGCTGTGGCAGCTATATTGCAGTTTATACCAGGATGTTTAGACACTCAAAGGGACGGTGAATGTGATGTTCCTAAATATTTGATGGCTGCGGCTCTGAATTGTTATTGATTGATGCAGTTATAATCGTTGTGTGTTTGCAACTTCTGCTGTTTGCTTGAGTGAGATCCGGCTGTATCGATCAGGTTTTTTTTTTAGTAAATCCAGCTCTCTTGCTGGTTTCTAGAGAAAGTAATGTTGCTTACTATTTGATTTGTAACACCTAGGGATGTCTTTGTGGTCTTGAGTCAAAAACAGTCAACAATCATCCATTACCAATATAAGTTGTTTCCACTATCACTATAATGCTCCAGATGGAACAACGTAGGCCAGACGGTGCCAATCACACATTGTGAAAGATATACAGTTTTGTGAGGTTTCACTAACACTTATGTTACAGTATGTTAAGATGCCAAAACTATGTGGTTCAATTAAGTAAAAAGATCATGGTTTTGGTTCAAATAAGTAGGTGTAGCAGGCTAACCCATATCTATGAGGATGATAATGGCCATTTAATGGGCTGTTTGATTCATTTGAAGCAGGTGAATAACTAATGTGTTATGCATGGCACTCTTTATTTAATCAGGTTGATATTGAAAGTCTGTTGTCAAGGGAGACAAAACATCTAAATCTAAAAAAGACTTAATCAAACGTATATTTTGGGGGAATTCTTCCAGATAATTGTGTTGTGATACTTTTCTACATCTGCTCAAGAAGAACTCATTTAGAATCATCAATTTACGAAATGTAAATAGTCAGACAGATATTTGTTCTCGTGATTTCCTGTCTGCTGTCAACCTGTTATCCATGTGTCCATCACTTACAAAGGTAGACACCAGTAAATCAAGATGTCTTTGACAGATTCCAGGGAGAAAAACACATTTCCCACGTCAAACTCATGAAGAGGCTCTTTGAAAAACTGGCACCTAACAAGCTTTTCTGTCTTCTGCTCGCTAATGCTGTGAGACGTGAGGAAAATCTTCAGTCAACAGCTGAATTCCTGCAGTCTGAGACACGCTGAGAACGTTTCTCACCGTGTCAGAAAATTACAGGTGTTTTCTTCTTCTCTTGTTCAGCTGTAGGAAAAGTGTTTAACTCGGCACGGTTATTTGTCTGGCTGTGTCAGGAGGCCTCTTTTTCTGGAGGGAAGGGTCTCATTAGACATGCATTCCTCACATTCCTACCTGAGAGCTTTTACTGCTGATCAGCAAGACGCCGCGCTGGAGGAATATGTTGATACTCTACCCTGCTAACTTAGAAGAAAACCTTCTGTTTTCTTGTCAGACAGGTTAAAGGTCAGTTTAAACACAGAGACCCCAAAGCTGGTATGGATTTTCTGTCTTCTGCATGGACACCAGAAGCTAATATGGGCGCTCAGTTCAGGTTCTGCGTTATTTTACTTTACCCTCTTCAGTTTTCGATACCTACGAGGCTAAGTTGTTTCCACAGCTGGCTGCAAGAGGAAGAAGCTTGTTATATCACACATAATATGCTTTATTTGCACTAGGAAAATAGTCTTAAAGTGCTTCTGAGGCAGTATGGCAATAATAAAAGATGAAGGTGTGAGCAAAATGAGGGTTAGAACATTTGATATATGCCGACTAAACACCGAAAACCAGCCATTTAAAGACTTTAATGTTATGCTGATTTTGTGGGAGAGTAACTACACAGGGATTTTAGCCTTTACAGATAATTTACATGCACAGAAACCTATGTAACACAGCATGATAGGGCCCCTTTAAGATAGTTTTAGATGTGACGATGTTGGATGTTCCACATAGAGTAACATGTTCCACTCTGAGGGTCAATCTGTGTGTCACTCAGGTTTGATGGTCAGCACAGATTATCTGTTCAATCTTCAGTGTGATCTGGTGCTTCCTAGCGATATCAAACATGTCTCATATGTGTGACCTGGTACGCAAAGTCCTGAACAAACTCTGTACTGTGAAGGGTTAACAGAAAAGCAACACGTAAACAAATAAGTCGTTGAATGGAGAGAGCTAGACAACAGTGAGAACTAAGCAAACAATGAGATGTGTGAAATGTGTCAGTCACCGTTTTACAAGTTGTTTTCAGTTATATACATCATATTTTACTTTTTGTACAAACTAGAGGCCAAGTTTCCACATGTTTTGCAAGACAAATTTCAAGGTTGTAACAAAGATACAAAGATATGAAAGACCAAATGTATGAATTGATTGACAAAACGGTCTAATTTTAGGCTCCATTTGGTTCCTTATCTATAGTTCAACTGTGTTTTCAAGGCTACGAATAAAGATTGAATCTCATCAAATGTTAAAATATCAAAGGAAACATCACTCTCTGCTTCACAGCTCATAGATATACTGTATGTAACCTGTGCACAAGTAGGTGTTGCAAGGTAACACGTTTGGAAACCATTGATTCATATGAAGTCTTAAGAGACGATCTGCAACTCAGCTGTTTGCTCAGGCCCGGTCATGTTTCTAGGAACAGTCTGGCCGCTGTATAACCTCCATTCAGTCATGGATTTTCCTTAAATCTCAGCATGTGAGTCCTTGACAGTCTTTGATTCAATCAGTTGAGCAGCAGAGAGCTGGAGATGTTTACCAAGAAACACACATCCAATACTTATGAAGACATAAACACACACTTCCAAGTCAGTTGCACACTTAAAAATGCACTCAGACGTATGTGAACACAAACTCATCAAGTATGCACGCACATAAGTAGCAAACACCATGCACTTTGATACAGAATAGTGAGCACACACACACTTGAGATGTGGGATCCTCACAGCCTCTCTGCGCTCAATACTGCCATCTTCATATTTCTGTTAACGCTGCCTCGTTATCTCTCCTTTTCTCACTCCTGGAAAGAGCAGCGTCTTTCAGATATCTGTGATTCTTTTCTTATTTCCCCACTTATTGTTGAGACAGAGCTTTGTTATTGGAGCAACAGGTCAATACTTCATTCAAGACTCAAAGATTCAAAGGCTTTATTGTCATATTTACAATAGCTAGAGCATAGCTTTGGCAATGCAACACACAATAACCTTAAGACATAATGAGACATACTGTAGTGCAAGAGAAGGGTCACAAAAAAAAGTCAACAATATTGACGTCAAATAGCATAGAATAACAGAATGTAAAATCATATACTGCACAAGGGGAATAACATGATGCTTATAAGATGTAAGCCAGTGGATTCATTGAGAAATATGTGCTCATTTGTGTGAAAATGACGTATTATCTCTGAATGTGCATGCGTTTTGAAGACAAACACAGTTACACTCGCCTGTTTCTTACACTCTGATCTTGATCTGTGAGATTAAATGGACCTTACGCCACGCTACCCGACATCTGTGACTATAAATATTGATTTTTTTTACCATGCAGAGGAAGCTAGATGAGCAGATGTTGCCGTTCTCCCATCATACATTAAATAATTCACCATACAGCTGCTGCATCTGACCATCTCTCTTCACCGTTAAATGCCCGATTTTACTGCTGCGTCATGAGAGATGAGAGATGTCCAGTCAACAGAGATGATACAGGAATGACTGGTTTTGTAATTATCATCATTATTATTGATGCACCTACAAAGTGCAGCTGCTGTATTTAAACAATTTGCTTCAATGTGAAATGCTCAGATTTGCTCAGCCCTGATTATTTCGGGGACATCGACTATCAGAGCGAGAAGACAAAACATTGCAACGCCTCAAATTAGTCGAAAAGAGGAAGTCACTGTCCAAAACATGTCGAGAAAAACACATCTGATCACTTTAGTTGTGGATTCAAAGTTTGGGTGTGTCTTTTTTAAGCTTCACTAGCAGTTTGTTACAAATTGTGTGAAGGTAACGTTCAAGAATAAATACAAGTAGTTGTTGTAAAATCTCTCTCTGCATATACCGTTTTTAATTAGCTTTTTTTAAAACAAGATAACACTTACAAGTCAAAGTGCTTCCATAAAGTTCAGGGATTAAAGTATTAGCTTTGTTGTATCTTAAACTTCCCATAATGCATCTTGATAGTGTCTTTTAATAGGCTCTCCATGCCTTCCCAACTTCCCATAATGCATTTTGATAGTATCTTTTAATAGGCTCTCCATGCCTCCAATTTGTAGCACCAACTTTCCTGTTAAACATTTGCAGTAAATCGACTTTCTCGTGTAAAGTCAGTGGAATGTCTCTATATAACGTGCGCAGATTGAACGGATAAATTAGACACACTAATTACTCATGCATGTGCTTCACAGCTGGGTGCAAAAACACACATGAGGAACAAACACTGGTGCCAAATGATCCACTGGGGCTCACTAATGTTTGCAAATTATGAGCTGAATGAAATCAAATCTGAGGTCACAGGCTCCTCCAACAGTGCAACACAATACAACGGATACAATAGTGCAAGAAGAGTCTATATACAAGTAATTGGAATATGATATATTAGATAAATAGTTGCAAACAGATGAATGTCATGGATGTTCTTTCAAAAGTTCAGGTGTTGAACAGTCTTGTTCAACACCTGTGTTTATGTTTGATTGCAGCACTCTTAACTTATATCTCCTCTTCTCTCCCTCAGGTATGACTTTGTGGAGGTCTACAACGGCGGGGACGAGCTTTCCCCCATGTTGGGAAAGTTTTGCGGGAAGATTGCTCCGTCTCCGATCATCTCCAGCGGCAGCCAGCTGCTCATCAAGTTCGTCTCCGACTACGAGACGCACGGAGCGGGATTCTCCGTTCGCTACGAGGTCTTCAAGACAGGTAGGGTTAGGGTTTCATAACGTAAACTGCTGATTATTGCCTCGCTGCAGCTGCACTTGCTCTGCAGTTTTTTGAACACTCCGCTAGATGTGATGAATCGCCTCATGGAAAGCAGCCAATTTAAATTCAATTGTAGTTTAGCCAGGGCTCCACAGGTTCGTTCTGCAGCGTTCTGATCGATGGCATGCATCACCCTGCGAGGCAGGCGTGCTGCTAAAGAGCAACAGGGGATGATAACTAACACATTTTTGGTATTTCTTATCAATCCAGTGTCATATCTAATAATAATAATAGTAATAATTAAAATATTAGACACCTAAAGACACCTTATAATCCATAGAACAAATACTCTTCAGGTAAAACAGAAAAAAGGAATTGTTTAAAAAAACGAAAATACAAAAGCTTGGTTTTTTTAAAGGTTTTGGCACCATAAAAGTTCACTTATCACTTAAAAAGTTGTCTGACATCGATGCTGTCAACAAACCCCACAGGTTAGTCACATTTATTTTGTAAAGAGCGAAGGCAAATTATATGAACATGTAAAATTATTCATGCTTATGTGAAAAAATATTGTGGTTTTAACCAAGTAATATGACAAAAAAAAGCATGTTATGAAATGTAATCACACAGTCTATGAACATCCTAACTATCCTCTATGTATATTGCACACAACAAAGCATCTATTTCCTCATGTTTATTTATCAAAAGAGCATCTTAAAATAGCCTTTGTGGGAATGTAGTGTTCTCTGAGGTTGTCCAAACAGCCTGAGCTCGGGTACACTGACCTCTAATCCTGCAATCAGATAAACTCAAAGACCCAGAATGCCGCAGAAGGAACATTGAGTCCCAGCGGAGGGCAGGATGTGAGCAGGATAGACGGACATAAACATGGGAAGGAACCTTGCTCCCGTGTCCTACATTTTGTATTTGCTCTTCTCTCTCGGGTCCACTTGATTGTCTGCCAAACAGGCAACCCCCTGGGGCCACTTCAGTTCCCACCAATGGGGACCGGAGATAAATCAGATAAAAAGGGGACATGCGATTACGTGAGACTCTTCTCCTTTTTATTGTTTGCACCCCTGAGAGCAATAACTATTCTCAGAATCACTGGATCCAGGAATAACTCTCCCCACATGGACTTGTGTTGAAAGATGAAAAATTGATACCCGAGTGCTTTTGTTGTATTTTTAAATGATGAGTAAGGCGGTAATATGAACCTTACTCACACGAGAGCTGCTCATAAGACTACAAAGAATGGCTTTTCTTCTACAAAAACAACTTTCAAATGTAATTTCAGGGTGAAAAGTGGAGCTGTGAGTGACAAGATGTTATTAGAAAGTGAGTGTAATACATCTTTGAAAGTAGGTCGCAGCCTGAACATTTTCCCGGTGGGATTTTTAAAGATATAGCTTCCACATGTGATGATGATAGAGGTTTGATATCTGATATAATGATCACATTGGGTTCGTTCATCGTATAGAGGGGGTCACAATGCCATTTACTTTCAGAAAATGACCAACGTTATATATTTTCTTAATGAAATAGACAGCTCTGATGGTGGTAAAAGTTTGATAGAAAGATCATCCATTTTGATATGTCAATGGGTCAGTTCCTTCATTTCCTCTAGTGGTAAATCAAGAATATCAAGAATATATCAACAAATGAAAACAAGGCGTGCCAAGTCAAGCATATGGAAATGCACCATTGGTTTGGAAAAACATAATCATGGCTTCAATTTTGTTTTTAAAAATACTTGATATTTAAGATGGGAATGAAGTGGGGGAATTGAGACTGACATTGAGTTTTGACCTCCTTTTAACAATTGGCTTAACTCAACTTGATTTGCCTTAAGAAGAAAAGGACTTGGGTCTTGCCAGACACTTGGACCAAATGACTAAATTCACATGTCGGGTGTGTGTGTGTGTGTGTGTGTGTGTGTGTGTGTGTGTGTGTGTGTGTGTGTGTGTGTGTGTGTGTGTGTGTGTGTGTGTGTGTGTGTGTGTGTGTGTGTGTGTGTGTGTGTGTGTGTGTGTGTGTGTGTGTGTGTGTGTGTGTGTGTGTGTGTGTGTGTGTGTGTGTGTGTGTGTGTGTGTGTGTGTGTACGCTGCTTCTGTCCCTTCTCGTGTTTATCAGAGAAACAGGCCGACTGTCTTCCTGTTGTTGTTGAGCACGTCCTGCTGCTGTCTGCTCTTCCCCGACTACTGTTGCTAAGAACTCCTGTGTGTGTGTGTGTGTTTGTTTTGTGCTGTGTCTTTTTTCAGGTTTATTGGCTGGCTTTATTGTGTTGCTACCTCTCTGTATGTATGTGTGTGTGAATGTGCGTAATCATGTCTTTTGTTTATCTTTGTCTGCTATTTCCCTTTACTCTGTCTCTCTGTTTTGAAAATTATTCGTCTACATCTGGCTTAATTTGTTCTTGTGTGTGTGTGTGTGTGTGTGTGTGTGTGTGTGTGTGTGTGTGTGTGTGTGCGCGTGTGTGTGTGTGTGTGTGTGTGTGTGTGTGTGTGTGTGTGTGTGTCCATGCATGTGTTTGTGTATGTGTGTAATCATGTGTGTGTAGCAGACAGGTGCGTGGGACCCCAGGCTCATTTAGCTAATGGTCTGTTTGTCCTTGGAGGCAACAGGGTGACCCGCAGATGAGATGGATGCTCTGGCACAGAAGAGGGGTTTCGAAACTAGGACAGCGTGTGTGTTTGTGTAAGGAGTGTGTGTGTGTGTGTGTGTGTGTCTCTCTATGTGTGTGTGTGTGTGTTGGCCTCAATATGGGTCCTCTACCCTCTAACAAGTTAAAAACAGCACTTGTACTCGCTCAGGTAATCCCCCTGCCTTCCTCCTCGCCACATTTAAAATCCATTAAAGGCAGAGCAGCATGTTGAAGAGCTGCTGCTCTGTATGAGAGGCCGTCTAGCTCACAACTCATACTTGGTCTTACAAACAATATCAGAATCTCTCATGTACACCACCAGACTCTTTCACACACAGTATCATACCGTCTTTAACGTACTGTCATTCCTTCCTTCATTTACTATCATACTATCATACATAAATAACTATTCTCTCTCACACACAAAAACAAAATCTCTTAAACGCACCATCATACTCTCGTACACACACCACTATTGTCTTTCACATACAACTATAATCTAATAGAACATTATAATAGTGTATGTGAAAGAGGATAGTAGTATGTGTGTAATCGGTAAACAATGTATGTAAGACAGAATAATAACCTATGTAAGAGGGAATAGTATTTCATGTTAATAACAATAGTTGTCTATGTAAAACGGAATAGCAGTGAATGAAAGGCCGAATAATAGCTTATATAAGAGGTAATAATAGTTCATGTGAATGACTATATAGGTATGTGTATAAACAGAATGATAGGGTGTGTGCATAAGAATAGTTATGTGTGTGAGAGAGTATGATTGTAAAGGAAGTGAGTATGATTGAAAAGGAAGTTGGACTAAATTCTCAGTTCCTGATTGGCTCTACGTTTTTTGTTTGACGGACACCGCCCACCCCCACATAGCGCCATTGTGAGATGAGAAAATGGTGGAAAGGGAGCGACTTAATGAAGCCATAGGCCTCTTAACTAATATTTTAGATAGGCCTTATCCAAATGTTGTCACATCGCTGTCAGGAATGATGGATCAAAGGCGACAGTCGACGTCGTCCACAGTAGGCAATTCTAGTGTGAGCGTTGACGAGGAATTGCAGCGGGCCTTCAGACGTGGATCAGGTGCATCAGGGAGTGGCGGTGGAGCCTCATTAGGCGCCAACCTGAACCAAGTGCTGCAACCCCGATATCAAACTCAGCAGTATTTTGGGGGATGGACTTCAAAGTCAAGGAAGAGGTACGTTTATTTTTTAAATGTCAACCGTGGTCATTTTAATATGTATGTTGTTGATTGAAGCCGTTTCTTACTGCTTGAAGCTAACGCTTTATTAACCTACTATAGCGGGGCAGTCAAATGTTAGAAACGAGACTAATCACAGGGTTCCCGCGGGGTCTTAAAAAGCTTTACATTTAATAATCAGAATTTAAGCCCTTAAATATGATTTTAAAAATCAAGAAAGGTCTTCAATATGATTTAATAGGTCTTTAAACGGATTTGGAAGGTACTTCTGTGTTGCAGTTCCCCCCCCAAATTATTTATATGGAAATAAATCAACATGGAACCAATAACTTGCTGCAATAACTTTGCATCCCCTGGCCCCTTATTGGAGAACACCCAGCTAGTAACTAGCAACCAAGCGTTAGCTAGCGTCAGTTCAGAGCCGGAGGTATCTTCACATCTTTTTACGAACATTATGGGGAAGTGTAAGTTTAACCGAATATGGTTGGAGAAAGGGGCATTTAGTGCTTGGTTGAAACTAGTGAAGGGGAACGTGTTAGAAGCCCGCTGCACCCTATGCTAGTGTGTAAAGGCTTTTGGAATCACACACGCAGTCAGCGAAACATAAGACCCAGGTAAGGAATAAACAACAAACGCCTGCCATGTCCTCTGTGTTCGCCAATGCGTCGCGAGCATCACGCGTGTCCAGTGTAATGTTACCCAGTAATTCAGCTCCCGCAACAACATCGGGGATAACCTTGGGTACAGTACAGTACAATACAGTTTTTACTTAATTGTTACAGATTTAATTTAATTTTCAGTTTCTCAGTTCTCTTTTAGTATTTTGTTTAATCTAATATTGCAAGTGTTTTTATTGGGGGGGGGGGGGGGGGGGTTGTTGTTTTTGTTGTTTAGTTTGCATGTATATTGCTACTGGATGTCAACATTTCCCTCAGGATCTACAGTGTATCTATCTATTCTATCTAATCTATCTATCTAACAATAATGATGCTTTCTTTTTTAGGACCACTGGCACTGTCCAAAATCACCCCACCTTCACCAAGGATGTAATTCTGTTACCTCATCCAGAATGGGATGCAGTTTGTAAGCACAAAACAAAGAGAAGGCTTCATCAAAAAGGCTTTATTTTAAATGCCTTCGAGATGAAGAAAATCTGGGACTGCAGGACAGTCATTGCTGAGCTAAGGGAAGCATTCAAGGACAACATTCCAGAGGGAGTCAGGTATTGTCTGAATATTTAGGCTATGTCTGGTATTGTTCATGAGTTGATTGCTTCAGAATAATTTTATGTATTTGTATTTTGCTCTTTTTTTTCAGTATTGAACTTTTGATGCCATGTGGAAACAAACTTGTTTCACCAAAGCTGCGTGAGGGACAGGAACTGAATGGCTTTCTAATTCACAAAGTGTTTAAGTCAAAGGCAGTGTACATCAGGCCATCAAGCATGCTTCAAAATACGGTAACCAATTTCAAACGATATGAAGCGATACTTATTTTTTTGTAATTTGTTTGTAGCACAGAGGTTTCTTGTTTTCCCAATTAACTTAACCCCTTATATTATGTTTTTTAATTATTTGTTCACATTTTTGTTTGTATGTTTTGTTTTAGTTGGACAGCTCAGATTCATTCACCTTTATGAAAAGGTTAAAAAGGTAAATGCATTGTAAATATATTGGAATATGCAAATCTTGACTATATTTTCATTCGATATGAATGCCACAGCTTGACCACAAAAATGTAAATAATAATAGAAACAATATTTGTTTACTGAAGCAATTTATTTGGTCACTTATATAGTTTAGTAAATAAGTTAAAAAGGATGCCATGATGTCAAAATACATTTTCCTCAGTAATCTTGGGTGTCTAACATAAATGGATATAGCACTGAGTTATAATCAGCCAGTCAAATGTGTTCAGAATTTAAACCACTATTTTTTAGCGAAGCAGATATGTCACACAGACCCTGTCTGCCTCAAAATCCCCTGCAAATGCTATAGGCTCATTGGTCGTAACTGTGCCATTCTAGCTCATCTCAAAGTCTGCAATTGGCTGCGGAATATTTACGTTACTTTTGTTATAATTTTTCAGCATTATGCTGCAATCTTTATGTAAATCCACGTTAGCAGTACAAGATGTACTTAATAAGAGGATTTCTGATATTAACAATTTAATTTCTTTTGATGTCTTCCATATCTTACACCAGTCTAAACTCCTGAAAGAAATAATTGGTCTGCCTTCTATATACATGATTTTAAACTATTACTAAACTATTTTTAATGAAAAGTACAGGTTTAGGTTCATTGTGTCACCAACAGAAAATATTTACTGCTCTGGTAAAACAGCAAGATATTTGTGGTGATATATCTGATTTCTTAGATTCATGCCTCTTTTGTAGTATTTGCTGTTGATAACAACTTAATCCGCAGTAAAGGCGCTTCTTCTGCCGTTGCAGTGGAGTCGAGCCAACCCTAAGCTGTTTGACTTGACCCATGCTTTGTGGTTCCTCCCCCGACTGCACTCGGCTACACTTGTCTACTTTCGATGCAAGCAGCAGCTCATCTCAAACTTTCTTTTTTGTTTTGTTTGTAGGTGTCAGAATGTTCTTCTTTGAATGACCTCTTACACACCACAGAACCACTCCAAGATTTTCTTGCAAATGCAGGGTGTCTCAGGCCTTTGAAATCCATAGAAGACAGAGACCTGTTGGTCCAAGACATTACCATGTTCCAGGTGGTCCACAGAGTTGCAGGAGCATTTGAAAGGTTTGTGCAACACTATTGCCTATAAACCAAATTAGTGATATAATTTAGGTGCTAACAAAAAAGCTAAAGCTGACTATATTTTAAAACCTTTTTTTCAAACAAAGATACAAGAATAAAATGTTTGAACGTGTATATTTTTATTGAAAAGAGATTGTTCCTTATAAAATAGGGCTGTGTAAGAATAAAATAAACACAATCAAATCAGTTCATGTGGTCAGAAACATATTACTCCCTGTAAATGAAGCTCTGAAGTATGTCTTTTTGAACAAATTACATTAATTAATTTTCCCAATTGTTTGGCAAGTCTGAGCATATTAATTAAAGATTGTCACAAACATCAAACTTTGTTTTTGCCCTCTTAGATTTCATACTGATCTCTGATGGAAATTTTTTATTTTCGAGCTATTTTTCTGCAATGGTGATGGAATATATCTCTTTAGTTCTTTACTATTAGCACAATTGTTCACACAAATTCTTCTCTTGACCCTCATTTGTATACTGTAGATTTAAGGAGGGGCTAAAGGTCCTTGGCGTTCTAGATGCAATTCAAATGCATCCAGAAAGTTTCCGGCCTTTGATGTGCCACGAACCATCGGCTCTCACTGCTGACGTAATGGACCATCTATTCCATATCCTGCTGTCTGAAGTGGGAAGCAACAAAAGAAGGACAGAGGAAGTTGTGGTTCCCTTTTGGAGGGATTACCTGCAGGATGTGGAAGGTTAATACTGCTGCTAGATGTAGTACTGTCTCCAATGATGTTGATCACTTAGTGTGCAAAGACTTGCTACAACATTACATACTAATGCCACATTGACATTACTCTTTTCATTGTCTGCCTTTTTCCTTAATCTTGCTTTGATTCTATTTCCTTTTTCTTCCTTTCTTTCTGTCTTAAAATATCCTCTTACTTGTCACATGTTTGGTTTCTTTGTCTTTCATTCTTTACTAATAGATTTTTTTCTGTATGGTATTTTGTACTTGCTGGTATGGTTTAAAATTGTAATTATTGTTTTGCTTGCTTTACTGTGTTTTAGATCAAGAGGGACCACCAAAGTTAGGGAAAATCCTTGCCTTTGCAACAGGTGCAAGTGTCATCCCTCCAGTTGGCTTCTCTCCTCAGCCATCAATTGATTTCCTGCATGGGCATCCCTCCAGCCCCAAACAGCGTCTGCCCATGGCGAACACTTGCATAAACTGCCTGAAGTTGCCGCTGCTTGAGACTTATGATGATTTTAAAGAGTGCATGGACTTTGCACTAGGTAACACACAGGGTTTTGGAAGAGAGTAATGGGAACATTATGTTCGTTCCATCTACCTCGTTCAGGAGGTTTCAGCCAGGTTCTTGAAGCAATGTGAACAACAATTTTTGTTTTTAATTTTAGCGAAGTGCAAAAAAACATTATTCTTTAAAAGTCACTTTTATTATTTATCAACCATTGTATATTGCTTTATTAGTGCTGACTGAGTAACTGGGCACATCATTAAGGTATTATGGCCCAGTGGTGCAACAAATCACATAAATATATAACTTACTTTCAGTCTGTTTAAAAAAAACAAACAGTGCTTGTTTTGTTACTTTAAGTGTGAACCATTTCCAGTGTTTACTGTTCATTAAGAACATTCACCAGAACTAAAAAAAATGATATGCCGTGATTACCATCATCACTCAAAGGGTCAAATAGTTCTTCAATTCTGTTCATCATGGTTTGATTAACATTAAAGTCATTTACCGGAACCACAATGTTGTTGTCTGTCACTAATGGTAAGGGGATGTGTTCATTGACTCCAACTGTCTCATTTCCTTCAAAAATGTCATCAATTGCCAAGTTTCCAGCTCCAGCACTGTTTAGAACTCCTCTCTGCCACAGTTGGAGAGGAGTTTGTCCACCCATTGTAGATAATCCATGGTGGTTCCACTGATTTTGGAATTCAGCAGCTGACCTTTGAACTCTTGGCAGGTAGATGTAGTGAAGACAAAACAAATGGAGGTCATTCGTAGAATCCAATATGCCCTCATTTTCCATGAAGGTAAAAAGGTTACTAAAGTGGAACGAGACAACTCTGTTAAGCTCTGCCCACAGCCGTTCTATCCTCTGGTTATGGACACTGCGTCCCATAATGACACTGCCTCTGTTTAATCCCCTTCTCTCTAGCATATACCTGGCAACCCCTGTGTTTTCCATGCCATGGTCACAGCGTACTCTTGAGGGAAGGCCAAAGTTGTGTACACCAGTACAAAACAATCCCAGAACACTTGATGCCCTGTTGTTATTGAGGCATTGCAAATAAATGATGGTGCGACTAAAGCCGTCAACACATCCATGAAACACCATCCGCCATCTCACCAGTTTATGGTTTCCGTCTATATGCCTGTAGGGAGAAAAAACTTCAATATTTACACAAATAAAATTGCAACCATGATGAATATTGTTAATACAGAACCAGAATGTCCATCACATGGTTGCCCTTCTAGAAGTCAGGACTAGTCCTTCCAAATTACAACACCTTTTTTATTTCACAGCATGAACTCAGTTTGTGTTGTTTAAGACAAAAGCACATGATAAAGGACATCCTTTATTGACTATATAAGTATTTATATTTTTAACGTAAAATAAAGTTCCAGTGGAGGAAGACTAGCAAAAAATAATAAGTGTATTTTAAAGTTTTACTTGCATTTTAGGCCTACTTGCAATAATGTCATGTGTTACTTTCTACCACTAGCAATATCTACTATATTACTTGTGCATTCATGGCACATAACTTAATTTAATGTCATGCAATACTCACCATAATTGATTGGGAGTTTGAACATTGTAAACTCTTCGACGAATTGCACGGCGGCGGCGAAAAGCCCGTCCAACCGGGTCAAGTTGTTGCAGGCAGCGTCTCACACGCCAACGTTGTATTCTGATGTGCCGTGAACGAAGACTCCCTAAAACATACCTTTCCCCTGCATTAGGGGTAGTTTGAAGGATCTCGCGAACAGTGTTTGCCAGAACCTCATCAGACATTCCTGCATAGGTCAGTGGTCTAATTTCAAGCCGCTGTCTGTGTCTGTACAGTGTGCTCCTGTTGATTCCTAAGCAGACTGCAGTTCTTTGCCAACTCATTCCAAGTGATAAACAGTGCATAATTTGCTCACGTTGTATATTGTACTGAGGGGGACCAGGATGGCCAGTTCTTGTTGTTGGAGGTACCCTTGAGTTAAGGCTAGTAATTTGTCTTTCATGCAATGATCTTGAGCTTTCATATGTGTTGGTAATTACACAAATACATACATACAGGGCCGCAAGGACGACTGAAGTTTCTTGACTATCAGTCCCTGCAAACTCCTGGCTAATTGATAGAAAAGTAAAAAATGTCCGTTGGTATCCAGGAAGTTCACTGAATAATCTGTCCAAAACCATGCTGTCAGGTCCCATGCTGTCACTTTCCCTCATAATGTTCTGAGCACACCGCACCGTTAGAGTGAAAAAAGTAGTAATGTCTTCCTCATTAACCTCCACGAAAATAAACTGTCCCTGAAGAAGAAGGTACATAAAAAGAAATATCATGGCTTTCTTCATACTGTTCAGACCTATAAAACAATCTTAAAAGTTCTTATTGCAGCTCAAATTTAGCGAGCAGAGCTCTGAGCAGCTTCAGGCTTCGTTTTCAAAGCTGTAAACCAGTCAAGGAATGAATATTTAAAATGGCTTCCTGTTGGATCAACCTGACTTCCTTTTAAAGTATACTCTCTCACACCCAGTACAATGTCCTCTCACACACATACACTATCATTCTCTCTCACACACACTACTATACCCTAATATATACTACAATCCCTCTCTCACATACACTATCATTCTCTCACACACACACTACTATACCCTCATATGTACTACAATCCCTCTCTCACATACACTATCATTCTCTCACACACACACTACTATACCCTCATATATACTACAATCCCTCTCTCACATACACTATCATTCTCTCTCACACACACTACTATACCCTCATACATACTACAATTCCTCTCTCACATACACTATCATTCTCTCTCACACACACTACTATACCCTCATACATACTACAATTCCTCTCTCACATACACTATCATTCTTTCTCACACACAACGTTTCCTGTCTTGCATACACTACTAGAGTATTATATTCTAGTATGATGTGGTCTGTAAGTGGGAATAATAGTGTTTCTAAGAAAGTACAGTTTGGTATGTAAGTAAGTTTGATTTATGGCCCAGACAAAAGTGTGTGAAAGAGAGTATGATTGTGCGTGTAAAAGTGTTTAGCAATATGTATACAAGAGTTTAATGGTGTATGTGTGAGATTCTGATATTGTTTGTAAGACCAAGTATGAGTTGTGAGCTAGACGGCCTCTCATAGCTCTGCTTACACACACATACACACACACACACACACGCGCACACACACACAAAAACCTCAACTTCTCCTTTGTCTCTGCCTAGTTGTTTTATCCTCTGAGTTCAGATTGTTTTATTTGCATATCATATTGTATCAAATAGTAACCCTTAAAGTATGAGTAGTTGATAAATTCGAAATGTTAAATATGAGACATTTATAATATATATCTTTTGTATAAAAATAGTTAAGTGCTTTTAAAGATCAAAGGAAGAAACTATTCAGATACCAGTTTGGGAAATCATTTTGTCACAGTAGCTTGTAGACAACACAAGACAAACCTCTCTGTTGCATCACCCCTCCTCCTCTGCCTCCACTCAGCGTCTGTCATTATGTTGGAGAAACCCTTAAACACTACCACAGCCTTAAAGATAGTAATAGCTGGTAAATCTCCGGACTAATGAGCGTTGGTCTGTAAAGCTCTGGCACATCCGCCTCTCGTAAACATCAACGTAACCACAGCGGTGACTCCACCCTCTGCCGACCACACGGCACATATCATGTGTAAAAGATGAGCATCCTGGATCTATATTTGCACCAACTCTCTGGTTCATTGCAGGTTTTTAAAACCCAGAACACATGTCTCAGCGGTTCAGTCTCGACGGGGGACGATGGATGTTGTTTCTACTTTGAGCCGCGGCTGATTGAAGGGTCGCTGATAAAAGAGATGAAAGAAAGGAAGACGGATGGACAGAGAGTGAGAGAAGAGAGCGTCACTCGTGACACAATAAGAGATATGCTTAAACACACGATATGTTCAACGTCTTTGTGCAAACTATTTCCAATGTTGTCAACACATACAGTATGTACAGGGGACAACAGGTGCTAACGCGCTACAATGGCCCAGGACACTTCCATTAGCAGAAACCGATGCAAATATAAAAACTGAAATGTACAAACTGTCACTGCAAAACTTCGCTTAAATGTACGTTTTATCGGCTTATTTTAATCGCAGGATTCCTTCCAATATTCTTGCAGATCTACCGTAAGCTAGCTAGCTAAAGTAGCTAACCTAGTCATTTCAAATATTCTGACAAAACACTTCAAATAATGACACAGGCTATCACTGCCAAGAGAGACAGTTTGCCACCTTTATGATCCCTGAACTTAAAGGGGACCTATCATGCAAAATGCACTTTTGTACGTCTTTTATACATGAATATGTGTCCCCGGTGTTCCAGGGAACTCACCAAGTGTCAGAAAACACAACCCTCTCTATTTTCCTCCATACCCAAATCTCTAAAAAAGGGGCTGCAACGGATCTGATCAAAACTGATCCAGATTTGAACACTGTCCTGACGTCAGGACGGTGGCGCTATGGCTATTGGGCCAACTCCACCAATCAGGAGGAGACAGCCACGGACATTGCCGTTCGAAAGCGCTGGAGACGCTGTAGTACATATGCCAGGCCTCTAGATGGTGCTGTTCTCACAGAATCAGCCCTTGCAAAAACAGAGCTATAAATTGTCAAATAGAGTGAAATGAGGCATGGCTAAAATGCATGATCTGTTTGGTATTTTGAAAAAAAAAAAGTATAAATATGCCTTATATAGGTATGGTCCTACACTATATTATTCAAATATAGCATGATAGGTCCACTTTAAACAAATGCTCCGGTTCCTGCTGTGCGCGTCACTTTTTATTGTCCCTTTTTATTGTCACTTTTTATTGTCACTTTTTCCGTTGTGTTTTGAGCTTCTTGCAGCGTTTTGTATTTGCAGCTTTTCGTTTATGCATCGCTTTTAGAAATGGTTCACATGTTTCGTTGAGTTGGTAAACGCTTTTTCCTAAACGCTGCGCATGCTTTGTCAAGTTTTCTCCATTTGCGTGTGTTTTGGCACATTTGTGTTTTTGCATTTGCATCTGTCGGCCACCGTACATGTGGCACATTTGGCTTGCTTCATATTTTTTGGGAGCAACTTTGCCTTTTCGAGACGCGAGAATGTTCTTTGTTTCACCAAGAAAGTGATTATTTTGGGCTTTGGTGCAGATTCATTACAGATCAAATTAACTTTTGTAGTTAATTCAGCCACTGGCAAAGGAGTCATTTTTTATGATGCTAGAATTTGATTAAAAAGTCTTTACTTTTATGAGTCTATATTCATGAGTTATGCACTTGGTATTCAGGCTCTGAGTGGTTTACAGCGTTGTTAGTGCAGCGGTTTGTATTAAGCCAGCCATTTATTCCACTTCTTAAAGGCTTGTCTGCAGATCAAAAGGTGCTCTGTTGCTCCCATCCACAACATTTTGAAAAGGGTCAGCTGGTGCTCGGCACAAAAAAACACCCTACAGTGGCCCATGAGGTTCAATTCTCACATCTCTACTTTATAGCACAGAAAACGTGTTATTCGTTTGAGTTTTCAAGGATTTTTCTGCCCTGAAATCACATTCATTCGTGACCTTGATACATGCAGCATAGATTTCTCATGAGGAGTCGATTTACTCAACCCATCTGTACATTTCACACACACACACACACACACACACACACACACACACACACACACACACACACACACACACACACACACACGCGCGCACACACACACACACACACACACACACACACACGCGCGCACACACACGCACACACACACACACACACACACACACACACACACACACACACACACACACACACACACACACACACACACACACACAGAGATACACACACACATTGGAAAGTGTGCCAGCTGAGCAGGATCGAAGAGTCTGCCTCATATCCTCCGAATCATTCATCATGTCGCCCTTTTAATGACACCACCTGTGTCAACAGCAGGGGGTCCACTCCAAGTGTGTGTGTGTGTGTGTGTGTGTGTGTGTGTGTGTGTGTGTGTGTGTGTGTGTGTGTGTGTGTGTGTGTGTGTGTGTGTGTGTGTGTGTGTGTGTGTGGATTCATATTTACCGGCATGCTCAGATAACATGCTGGTCACATCTGGCCTGGCAACACACACACACACACACACACACACACACACACACACACACACACACACACACACACACACACACACACACACACAGCTCGTGCCTCCGAGGGATGCTTGACCCTCGTGTCGTCTTCCACCCACAGGGATCAGTCTCCGTCTCGTAAACATCGCTCTTGTCACTTTACAACGAGCGAGGTGTGAACTGCCAGCGGAAAGGTGACTGATGCGAGCCGACACGGAGATTTTCCACATCAACTGCGTGGATGTTACTGTGGAGAAAACAACAAAAACGACAATGACATAACAGCTGCTGCTCTGTTTGTTGTAGGGGTTTTGTTGATTTTAAAATGATTCATTTTGAAAGGGCTTTATGAAATCGTCTTACACCTTACAGGAGCATGGGATGCTTTCTAGGAAGTGTTAGGCTTTCTGCAACTACATTTGATGTTTTGTGTTTATGTTGTAACTGAAAGACATTATCTACAAAGTCTCTCTTGCGTAATGCTCTCTGTGCTTGTGTTACATCATGATCAAAGTCCCACAGTGCCAACATGGTACACATGAGCTCCATGGCAACCCTGCAAACATCCATGCTTCAAAACACGGTCTTTCTTTGTTGCAGATTCATGCATGGAAATCTCAGAACATGAAGATCAATACGTTAACTTAGCTTATGTCCAAATGCATGAAAGTTAGAGCAAAAAAAAATGTGTACCTTGTTACCAAGTGAAGAAGTAAATCTGGCAAAAATATACCTCGTTATATATCTTTAGAATTCAAGTCTTTACTCATTCAACATCCGGTTTAACAGGAATGAATGCGTTGTTCATGATTTAGCACAACAACCTCACACCATTCGGAAACAATGGTGAGATGAATATAAAAAGCTGAGATATTTTAACACAACACAGATGAGGGTTTTATCACCTGAAGGTGTTACGTGCAAAATGCATGAATGGAAGTGTGAGAAATGAAACATCATCCAAAAGGTGCAAAACAACAACAACGGATATCGTTTGTGTGGATTTGCTGTTGTTTAAGTAGGCAAGTAGAAGTGAATTTATGAAACCCTTTTCATGATCTGGGTTACTAATGCCCCTTTCACACCAAGGCTTTTCCCGTTCTAGCTCCGTGCTAGAGCTTTTCTGGTTCGGAACCGGTTCTTCGGTTCAGCTCCCGCTCTGTTCACACCGCTCAGAGCCCGACTGGTGCTGCGTCATCGTTTGCGTCATGACGTAACCGTTTGCGTGCCTGCTTCAACAATGGCCGATTGTATTGAAGCACTACTCGTTTTGGTTTTGCTCTGTTGAAATGAAATGGAAGAAATGGGACGACTTTACTACCAACTTTACAGTCGTTACATGCTACATTAAAAAGTTCTTTACAATCATGCTCCCCTCCAGCTTCCTCTGTACCTCTTCGGAAAGACCAGATTCCCAGCAGCTGGTCTCTTCAGTGGACCACTGCTGCTTGTTAAGTTTTAGGTTTTCCATCGTTGTGTACAAACTGGATAAAACGCGGGCTTTTTGTTGTTGTTAGAGGTTGATCCCGCCCCCGCCTCCGACGTAAGCGTGACGTATGTGGTGCTTGCTTTCTAGACCGACAACTTTTTGGTGCTTGGTGATGCCTCGGATTCCGGAGCTTAGAGGCGGCTCCGCTGCGGTGTGAAAAGGGAAAAACCGGTGCTTTTCAAGCTCCAGCTCCGAACCGGCCCTGGAACCGCGTTGGTGTGAAAGGGGCATGAGAGATTCTGGTGTCAAATTGAAGTCTTTGCAGACCATTTACATGCAAAAAAACCTATATAACCCTAACCCTGACCCTGACCCTAACACACTACAGGAAAGAGTAAACGCCCAAAAAGCAGGATAGGGATTCTTTAATCAAAGAGCATCAATAATAAAAAAGATCATCAAGAATGCCATTAGAGGAAAAATACATCTTCATTATATAAGTGCTAAACCTGAGATAACAACGTTAAATCCAAATTTAATCAAAGCTCAGATATTTGACTACTCACAGAAATGATGATGTTGTGGTTGAATAACTATGTAGTAGGGTAACGTGTGTGTGCACTCGTCTAATGAGCTAATCGGGTTGTTGTGTGTGTGTGTGTGTGTGTGTGTGTGTGTGTGTGTGTGTGTGTGTGTGTGTGTGTGTGTGTGTGTGTGTGTGTGTGTGTGTGTGTGTGTGTGTGTGTGTGTAATTGTTTGTTGTCTGTAAACAGCCTCTCAGTGTCTGGACTGTCAATAAACCCCCCCCCCCTCCAGTCACAACACAGACACAGACGGCTCCAACAATAAGGCCCCTGTGTGTCTGATTGACTGGAGGTGACATGAGTTTGGTCAATAAAATGTAACTTATGTTAAACGACAATCTGTTTCCCGGTCTTAAAGATTACATTTTCAGCCATTTTTTAAGCAATATTGTTTATTTATCAGAATCAGAATCAGGTTTTTTGCCAAGTAGTTTCACACATACAAGGAATTGGAATGGGTGTATTTGGAGCATACATAAACTCAATAAGAACATGTTTAAATACATTTTTATTTAAATTAATATAACATTTTACAAAAAAAGTAAGAATTTTCCTTATTGTTTTGGAGAAAATCTAGTTTTAAGACTCACAAGGACTCGGGCTACATAAATCTCTTCTAGTGAAGTTGTAAAAGTTTATCCGTCAAAGTTTCAGACGACCAAAATGGTGAAAAACGTAAGGTTTTATGTGCATTTCCAATACGTTTTTATAGTTTTTTTGCAGCAGGAAAGACTAAAATGTCAATAAAACAGACAATTTATTGAACAGAATCAATCAGTCAGGGTCTCAGCTTTCACTACCATCTCATTTTGCAGAGAGTCATTTAAATTGCAAGTGATGTGTGAACAGCGACCCTGGAGAGTTCACACCTCTGTCCAGGAGAGAATTAATCACTCTGTCCAAACACGTCCTGACACTTTTAAAAACTCTTCGATGTCTTCTGTCCTCGCAGGTCCAGAATGCTCCAGGAACTTTACGGCTCCCCGAGGCGTCATCAAGACACCGGGCTTCCCCGAGAAGTACCCCAACAACCTGGACTGCACCTTCATGATCTTCGCCCCCCAGATGTCTGAGATCGTGGTGGAGTTCGACAGCTTCGACATGGAGCCCGACACCACGCCGCCGCCGGGCGCGCTCTGCCGATACGACTGGCTGGAGATCTGGGACGGCTTCCCTGCAGGTGAGGAGAAACATTTGTTACTTTGGCATATATCAGCAACGAGAGAATATATTTACACTTTTAAGGAAAGTTAGAGAAACCCAGGCAGGGAGAAAAGAGAGGAACGCGATAAAAGTGTGTGTGTACCTTGTAATCTTTAATACTAGTTGAACATAACATTTTAACATTTGTATGTGTTTTTATGTGTTTCTAGTTATTGTGCTTTTTATCATATTTTTAATTATTGTTTATTATTTGACTTCCATTGTGTTATTTTATATTGTATGTATTCCCTGTACAGCACTTTGGTCAACTGAGGTTGTTTTAAATGTGCTATATACATAATTAAAGATGAGATTGTTAGGAAAACCTGGAAAATAAGTCAATCAGGCCAAATATACCCCGATAGTGGCTCAGTCAGTAGGGGCAGTGGCTCAGTCAGTAGGGGCTTGGACTCGGAGCTGTAGGGTTGCCGGTTCAAGTCCCCGACCAGACCTAAAATATGGAGTGTGGACTGCTACTTGGAGAGGTCCCAGTTCACCTCCTGGGCCCTGCCGTGGTGCCCTTGAGCAAGGCACCGGACATCCCCCTTCCCCCCTCACTCCCATTGCTCTCCGGGCGCTGTACAATAGTTGCCCACTGCTTCTAGTACTAGACTCCTGGTACTAGGATGGGTTAAAAGAGAGAACAAATGTCACTGTGTGTGACCACAATTCTATTCTATTAAATATCTTCAGAATTAAAGTCTTTACTCATTCAAGTAAAGTAAAAGATGAGATGAGAAAAGATAGCAAATCTGGAGTCAACATGATGTTTTAAAACTGAAAATATTAAGTGTTTTCACTGTTTTAATTTATGAAAAAATCTGCATGCAAATTTGTTATCATGGAAAACGCATTCCCCAACACAAAAAAGCATAATCTTTGCAAATAATGTTCAAGTTGAGAAGCATTTTAGGAGCTAAAAACCCTTTCTAAGAAGTGTATTCAAAAGCTAAAATATGACATCTCAAAGCGATCTATAAAAACGTGCATTATGGACATCTTTGCTAAAATGCTTATATTTGAGGGCATTTTATGAACTCCTCAGTCATTGTCTTGGGCCTCTGTTTCAGAAACACAATGTTATGGCTTAGGGACTTAACACTAAAACAGCTATAAGACTAGATGCACTCCCTATAGATAGAGCAGTGAGATCAAATGTAAGATGTCAGACAAAAATGTGAAAGAAAAGGAGGAGAAAACAGCGGGGCTGCTCCTCCTCAGGTGTCGGCTGGGAACAGGGGGAATGGGATGCAGATGCAAAAGATAAATATGGGGAGCTGTAAGAGAGACGAGGGGGAGGAGAAGCTCGAGATGGCTCCCCCCTGCAGATGTTGACAGAAAACAGGCAGAGACAAGGGAGGAGAAGGGAGGAGAAGGGAGGAGAACAAAGGAGAGAAGGCTTCCCTGCAGGTGGGAAGAGCTCGGATTGAGAGATGGAGGCGAAGGAGAGCAACGGGGGAAATAGACAAGACAAGATGAAGATATGGGATGAAGAAGAGGAAAGAGCAGGAAGGGATGTGTGTGTTTACATTTATTTTTGGGAGGCATATATCTGCAACTCGAGAATATATTTACACTTTTAAGGAAATGCCATCACAGCATATGAGACCCTGGCGTCTTCAGAAATCTTCCTTTTCTTGTATTTGGAGAATGAAATGAGAACAGCATGTTACCCTTCTGACTACTTGGTGTTGATATAGGAGATTTTAAATGGTTACTTTCTGACTGTTGCTTTGACTCAACAATACCCAAATGAAGCCTTGATACAATTTACCACCAATTCCATGTCCTTAAAGCCACCTACTGTAAAACAGGTTGTAGGCTAATGTCAATGCTACCGAATACTCAAATGTAACCAGGGGCGGACTGGCCATCAGGACGTTCGGGACGACGCACACCGGCTGGTACTTAAGTGGGCCGGTCGGATAAGTCACTAGCATCCCCCCCCCCCCCGTCGACAATTTACTAGCGGTAATTAGTTGCGGTACCGAGGTGGGCCGGCGGTACCGAAGTTTGTAGTCCCAGTAACCCTTGCTGCTCATTAGTTAGCTTGTTGCCATTTCAGGTGAAACTTTATATATTATTTTTTACTGTTATGACCTTATGCTCCCCATGTAAAGATCACAAACATGTAACAACTACTGTATTGGACGATAACGTAATTTTCCCTCCAAAAAACACGAGGTTCAAACTGTAAAACAAATATTCGACTCCCCTAAAGGTAGAAAAACAAATCCCACAACATTACCTCGGCCCGTTTGATCTGTCACGTCACATTCGAGCATTCAAAATAAAATGTTAAGTGCAACGTTGTGCAACATTTTAAATGTGATTAAGATTAACAATGGTGTTATAATAATTATAATTACTTTTACAACTTCTGAATATAACTCAACACTCAAAGCAGCCCTAATGACAATTGATGACCGATTGAATAGGATATCTGATTTGTTTCCCTCGTCTTATATCGTCTACGTATCGGACCAATATCAAACATTCCTGTTGTCATTTTTGCAATATACTAATTTATATAAATAGTTATCACCGCAATAAACCGTATTTAATTTTGTCTTAATTAATTTACATTATTTAATATCATATTCTATTGACATGTATATAGACTTTTTGCACTACTTTTTATTTTGTATTTTATTATATATGTTGCATTGTTGGAGGAGCTCAGGTCAGAATAATTTCATTGCCATTTCTACACTGTAGCTCTGTGCATATGGCAATAAAACCTTTGAATCCCTGGACCAGAACTTTTGGGGAAAATGAGTAACATACTTGAGCATGGAGTAGATTATACTCATTGTAGGCTTAGCTGTTACGTTAGTTTTTACTTGAAACACATGGAGGCAGGAAGTACTGAGAGAGACTCCTTCACAGCTTGCTCATTGTTCCCTCACCACCCTCACCACATTTGTAAAAAAAATCGTCTCTCTGCACGCATCCTGTTCGAACCCCTCTGTTCACTCCCCTCCCCTCGTATGGACAGCGTTTCTCAGCTTCCATTGTTGTCTAATTAGCCGTACAGTGTGCAGATAATAGGGAGAGCTGCATACCTTGGACAGCCTGAGTGCGCTGCCAGGATGCCCACAATACTCTCCGCTGTGCCCAAAGCTTTGCCTGATCGCTGCCAGGGAGGAGACTGGCATGGGAACATGAGGGAAAGACTGGCACAGGTATACAGACAGTGACACGCACTTTAAAGCTGCGCCAGCATACATAACATGCCAGGGCTTCTCCTGTCAGATGATGTGTGTGTGTGTGTGTGTGTGTGTGTGTGTGTGTGTGTGTGTGTGTGTGTGTGTGTGTGTGTGTGTGTGTGTGTGTGTGTGTGTGTGTGTGTGTGTGTGTGTGTGTGTGTGTGTGTGTGTGTGTGTGTGTGTGTGTGTGTGTGTGTGTGTGTGTGTGTGTGTGTGTGTGTGTGTGTGTGTGTGTGTGTGTGTGTGTGTGTGTGTGATGCAATAAGCCCTGTGCTCCTGTGTTTGCTGAGGGAACATGTGTGTCAGTGTGATAACAAAGCATCTCTGCAGTGGGGTGAAGACCAGGATGTAGTTTTTTCATCCCATCAAACGCATTCGCAATGTTAACACAAACACCAAACATTCCCAGAATGCACTGGTGGGTTTTTTTTCTTCTTTGAGAGCTGGAAATCAGTTCTTCAAAAGGATGTTTTTCTCCTGGTGGGATTGAATTAGAGAAAAATACATCAAAGGCTGAATATGTTATTTTTAATCCTTTTTAAATAATGAAGTATGTGCGTTTCTCTAGAAAAAAGAAAAAAAAGTAAAATAATTAACAATTTTAATATCCTAAATGTAACGTTTTTAAATGTTTCTTTGGTTTTTTACTAAATGTGGTGACTTATATACTAAAATAGTGTTTTTCAGTCACATTGCATACCTCAAATCGCTTTAAAAACACAGTAATGAGAAACCTTGAGAAAGCTATTTTTGTTTCTTTATCTCATATTTTTCAGATTTCCAAAAGATCTTCTTCTGCTCATTTCAGATATGACCATTTCCTAAATGAATGTAAATGCAGCCACATTGCTTGAAGGATGTTTTCCATTATATAGCTGATTGTATCTCCAACAGTCGGCCTTACAGCGAGTATATTTCACACTAACACAGATAAGACTAAATGTCAAAATGTAACCCATCACAGATTGGCGAATACACCTGCATTAAACCGTACCTGATAAACATAATCCTACAGATTAGTCAAAGCACAGCAGCTTCAACGTGATTTTCTTGTGTGTTTTTTGCCTCAAATTGTGAGATAAGTATCATTTTTGTAACTGTTACACAATTATCATAAGGAAATAGACTCTATCATTGAATTGTACGTCAGTTATTCCTTTGCAAGAAGTCTGGATGTCGAAATGTATTCACAACCTGGACTAAATGTTGTGAATGTGAGCGCTAACAGGACGACAAAACACACAGGTTTTAACACCCCTCACTCTCTTGATATGTATTCCTTGCTGCACCTGACATGATGTTATATATACAGTTTAAATATAGTGTGTGAATATAAGTGTAAGCAATATGCTGTGGTAATCAATGTTCCCGCTACCTCCCATCTACACCTTTTATTCCTGTATGAAAGGTGTCTCCTCGGTCCTGAGAGGTGAGACAGTGCAGCTGACAGGAGACAAACAGCTGCTCATTGTGTTGAGTTGTTCATCTGAATTGGGGTTCTTTTAGACTTCAGTTTGGTGTAGACAGGTTTGAAAAAAACACGTCTCAAGCCGGTGTGTTTTTCCTCTAAGTCACAAAACATTTCCCAGGACAGTGAGGGCAGAATGTATTAATATTAAAGTAACATTATGTATAAATGTGTCTGTTGATTGTGTATATATAGGTATGTTTTTATACATATTTCTATATATATTTGTATTTTGTATTCCTCTGGATTGTGGGAAACGGTATTTCCTTTGACTTTGAAAGGGACAAAATGAATAAGCAGTTGTTGAGTGATGAAGCTGACAATCTCCTTTTTTTCTCAACTCCCCTTCTCCATCTTTTCCCCCCATTTGTCTCTCGTCTTTCCCCCATTCTCCCTCCTCCTCCTCCTCCTCTTCCTCTTCCTCCCTCAGTTGGTCCCCACATTGGCCGTTATTGTGGCCCGACGTCCCCGGGCCGTGTGATCTCGTACACCGGCATCCTGTCCATGACCATCACCACGGACAACGCCATCGCCAGAGAGGGGTTCTCCGCCAACTACACCATCCGAGAGAGGATCCTCCCCCCGGGACACGAAGACGAGGGTGAGCATCTGGAGGAAGAGTGATGATGAGGAAGAGGAGGGTGGGGGGGGGGGAAGTGATGGGGAGGGTATACATGTCATCTGGAGAGCTGGTGGATTTTAAAGCAATATTTTTACTTCTTCAACATCAGAATCAGAAACAGGTTTATTACCAGGTAGGTTTACAACACAGATTGAGAACTAGAAAAATATTAAAAATAATACAAATATAGTAAAATATTATGTATTTTCTTGCCTTTTAAAGTATGAAATAATGCCTTTAGCAAGAGCTGGTATGGATTTTAAAGACATGTTTTCACTTCTTCAACATGTAATCAGCTGTTGTTGCTATTTTGATTCTGATTTAAAGATGTCCGACCCATACTAAATATTATGTTAAATTAACAATCATGAAAACTTGAAAACATTCAAATCCTCACATTTGTTGCGATTTGGTTTGACAATTATAATGGTTTTGAGTCCATTTACTCTACGCTTCATTTCAACAAATTGACTCAAAACCAGTATTTGTACCACTTAGCCATTTCATGTATTCTTCCTCCCCTCTGTCACAGTTAATTTCAGTATTGTTAAAGTTAATTCTCTGCATTTGAGGGCAAAACAGTGTAAATGTAGTCTCATCACATAGCAGTAACAGTTGTGATAAAAACTGCTTATAATTTCACCTCCTTTTAACTATTTTTGAACAAGTCACACAATGAAGGTATCATAAAGAGTTTCTCATGCTTGGTGATAGATAGAAATCTTATTCTAGTGTTGTGTTTGTTCTTGTCCACATGTCCTCTTAAAAAAGGACTGTGGTTTATCGGTTTACGTAGCAGGAAGGCCTGTAGAGAGTTAAGTTATGTTATCCGTAT